CAGCACTAGTGGCTGCTTTAATTTTAGTTTGTTCATGAGCAGTCATGAGTTTGTAGAACTTGTGCATCAGCATCTCTTCCTCGACCTTAAGTATGTGCATTTCATTTGACATCGAACGATGTGCCTCCATAAGGAGATTGTGTTCTACTTCTAAATGTTTTAGTGTTTCTCCTTCATATCTGGGATCCATCTTCAGAAGAAAGGTTCCCCCAAAAAACCTTAATTTGTCAAAGCAATCAGCTGCGGCGGCGACGCGGTGGGACTTTCGAGTGGCGAGCAGCGGAGCAGTTGAGGTCAGACTTCAGAGGTGAGGTCTCAGGTTGCGACTTGCTGAGCTTGGTAGTCCTGCGAGGCTGCGGTCAGTGGCGCACCAGGAAATGGGAAAGAGAAGATCTCCGGGCGATCAGGCCGGCCTCCGACAAGGCGGGCAGAAATGGAGTTGCCGGCTAACCTGTTATGCTGCAGCGCATAACAAACTCCAAAGAAGAAGTGGGCTTGCAGAGATGCTGCTACTGGATGCGTCGTTGGCTACTTGGCTACGCGTGTTTGCCCTTTAGCATCGCAGTTCAAATATGTTTACGGTTTGCAGTCCTTGTGAGTCATTTTACCTTGTCCATTTGTACATTCACTTTGTGAAATAATATGACATTTAATTTTTGAAGTAGCTTTCATACTAAGGGAGTGTTTGCGGTTGCTTTAAAAAAGCGCTTTTCAGCTTTTGACTCAAAAAAAAGCTGAAAAGAGTGTTTTCAAATGACAGCTTCTGCTTAAATTCATCACTTAAAAGCTAAAAGCTGGAAGCAGATAGAAGGGTGTTTTAAACTGCTTTTCACTTTTTCTATTACACCAAAAGTACTTATTTTACCAAACACTATCAACTTTTACTTTTTCAGAATCACTTTTTTCTGAAACACTACCAACTTTTACTATTAATCATTTTTCCCAAAATCACTTTAAAAAATCACTTTTTAAAGTTGAAGCAATTGCAAACACTCCCTAAATTTTATCATGAGAGTTGTCCTAAAAAATATTTAGGTTGAAATTTTCATAACAACTGTTGAAGGATTTTTAGAGCTTTTGACATCTGAGCATATATATTGATTTCGCTCTTATAGAATTTCAGAGATATTACTGATTTTTTTAGTGTGAAATTTTTAGCCATAGGATTTCATGGGAAATGAATTCAATTTAGGTGAACATAATTGTTCGTTCCTTTCAGTCTTCTCACGATCATCCTTTGTCCTGTAAAAATTAATTCTTCAGTTCATTCCATTTTATGAGTTTAGTTTTATTGAATATATCATTATAGTTGCAACTCAACCTTGACAATTTGCAGCTCCTATCTAGCAAATGCCAGTTTGGATCCTCACGAGTGCATTAAAAATGGGAGGATCTATGCTCTCATGTTGAAGATCGACCGATTTAGTTATAGGTGGAGCTTATAGCAGTTGGAGGATCTTAAATTAGTTTATTACATGCAGATTTAGTTGACTTTGTAATGTTAGAATGTGTATGACATTCGAATTGTAATTGATAATTCTTTTTTTGAATAAAGAAGCGCTTTTTATGTATTGTCGTTTTTATATTTCAAGTAATAATCTTATGTTTCGTGTGTATGTATGTGTATATATATAATATATATATAAATTTATATATCATTAACATTATGTGATACCAATGTATCATAAATTTAATTGATACTAATGTGTCAAAATACAAAGTGATACCAATGTATCATAAGTTTAATTGATACTAATGTGTCAAAATAGAAAGTGATATTATTCTATCATAATTGTTTCTGATACATTAGTGTCATAAATTAGTGACACTTTACCAGTGACACTAAATTTAGTGTCATAATTCCCGACCTTCTATGACACTTTTCTAGTGTCAGTAAAACTTTCTGTGACACTAATTTAGTGTCACTATAGGCCGTTTTTCTAGTAGTGGCCCCGCTGTGATTGTCTCATTTTACCTTTTCGGTCCGTCCCACTAAGATTGTCTCATACCTTATTTGGTAAAGTTTGTGTGGTTCTAAATCATTTCTACTTTATTCTTACTTTATCAATTCATTATCAACCACATAAACCCACTTTTATTAATAACCGTGTCACCTTCTCTTGTCTCAAACTTAGGGGGACGGAGGTAGTAACTCCTAAAACCTAATCCTTGCGGCCGTCTCCCTTGAATAAAAGTTTCCAGATTTTGCCGCCTTGTGTGCGGCTATAGTTTTAGTCGTCCTTTGGTGCGGCGATTAGTTTAACAGAGAAGGAAAAGTTCGCAGGAATATCGCTAGTCGTGTTGTGGCGGCCGATGGAGAAGGAGTTGCGGGAGCCAAGGGAGGGAGATAGGGAGGCGTCCAGAGGGGTTGAAATTGCGGGGCAGATGAAGGTTGCTCGTCATCAGGGAATCAATCGAGTGACGGGTGGGAGCCGTGTCTTGCTCGTGTCAACAATCATAGCGATGGTCCGACCTCCTCCTGAAACACCGCCAGAGATTGAACGAGGTGCTAGGGTTCAAGATATTTATTTTGCTTTTTTAGTTTTTTCATGTTTCGTCCTCCTCCTATTTGTTTTTATTATTTTGTCATTTGGTTTCTTGTTAACGTCTATGTTGTTGATTTGTCAGTTTGTTTGGAAATTTAGCCTTTTTTAATGTCATTGAGTATGTTTGGATCTGTGGGAACTGGGATGGCTGTGTCAAGCCTTGTGCATGGTTAGCGATTCATGTTGCTCTTTCAGGGGAGACCGTCTCTGAGTCTGATCATATAGGGTTTTGATATGCACTAGTTAGTAGTGCATAAATTTGTGTTTTTATACTTTGTTTTGTGTGGATTGTTTACCATTTGTGTGTAGTTGTAAACATTTGTTTACTTTTATTTGTAAGTGTTTTTAGCTTTTATTTGTGAGTTAGGAAGTTTTGATAAAATTGTTGGCAAGGAAAAGGAAGAAAACAAGGAGAATGCTGCCCAGGAGTATAAACCCGACCGGGTAGAAACCTTCACCCGGTCGGGTTTGAATTAACGTTTGCAATCTCCAGGAAACTGATTGGCCCGGTCGGGCCCCATACCTCACCCGGTCGGGTGAGACTTGACCAAAGACAACCCGACGTGCTGAAGAACACTAGAACATGGAAAATATTTGATTCGGACCGGTACCCGGTCGGGTAGATACTCTACCCGGTCGGGTACCCGGCCAAAGGTGTTGAAAAACACCTATAAATAGCACACTTTTCCTTCACTAAAAAGAATCTCTTCTTCCATACTCTTAAGCTCAGTTTAGAATAGTATTTCTTTCATATTTGTATAGCATGTTTAGTCTCCAAATGAGGAGCTAAACCCTTCCATCTTGGTTTTGCTACTTTGAAGCTTAATGAATTTGTAAGTTGTGAGTTATTCTCTTTAATCTTCTTCCTTGAATATTAATTCTTCCTTTAAATACTATTTCTATATCAATGTTGGGGAGTGTTACTAAGATGACAATTAGTTAACATCTTGACATTAGTTATAGTAATAGCTATTTCTTCCTCTATGTTAATATTGGGGAGTGTTACTAAGATGACAATTAGTTAACATCTTGATATTAACTATAGTAGGATTCATCTTCTTTAATATTCTTCCTTGAGTATTAATTAATTCCTATTCATATATCATATTAATATTTTGAACATTACTTAAAGGATCAACTAGTTTTGTTTCATATATTAATTATTACTAGAATCGGTCGATTAATACGCTTGTTATTAATTCGGTCCTTTCACGGTAGTAAATTTGGGTTATTAATGCATGCGTTTCATGGTTAATAAACCAAGGGGAATTAATTATATTGATTAAACCAATAAACCGCTTGTGTTGAGGTTATCAATCTCAATCGTTTTCATCTTGATTTTATTGCTACTGTCGAGTGAATATACGGCGCTTGTTCTATATTAACTCAGTAGTAAGTTTTATTAATAAACGCGTCTCGTTATTAATAACTACCCTCGATGAATTGGATATACTCCTCGATTGAGTATTCGAGAGGAAGATAGTTAAAGATATAACCGGGATCGACGAACATTTCATTAAGTGGATAAAAGCAAAGCCAAGTCTTCATCTCTATTAAGTAAATCACATAACTCGTTCATCTTTGTGTTTTAATATTCTAAAAAGTTCTTCAGCAACAAATCTAAAAAAAACCCTTATTACTAGTTATAAAAAGAGAAGTATTCCTTTCCCTGCGGATACGAACCTTACTACGCTATACTACGTATAAGTGTTGTATTGTATTATTATTTTGAGTGCACACCACGACAAAGTGCACGTCAGGTTTACAGTCGTAGTTGTTGGAGTTTAGTTGGTGTCAGATTTGTTTTTGTTTTGATTGATGTAATGATCCTGAAACTTATGATATGAATAGAGGCAAGTTTCCGTTCAAAAAAATAAGAAAGAAGCGCTTCCAATATGTTTATCGTTTGGACAGACAAACACCTTTAATTTCTTATTGACAATGAAAACTTTTTTATTCTTAAGCTTACTTTTAACACCATCAAACGCCATCAAATAGTATTCATTAATGATTAGCTATGCAATGAGATGGTTAACATCTTCCTCAACCGCCCTCTTTGCACGCATGAAAGAAATTTAATTGAAGTTTGTAACTTGTGACAAAGATGGGAAACCAGTCGACTCTGCGTTGAGTTTTGTATACAACCAAACTTTTATAATTTGTAATTTTCCTTAAATATTTCCTGAACTTACTTGCACATCTTTTTTCATATATTTTGATGTCCTACATTAACTTTTACTATTTATTTCTTAGTTTGCTATTCAAACATCTTATTTTTTATTATATTTAATTACTTCTGTTAATTGAATCCTATTTGAAGTTTTCATAGTGTTCATATAACTACATCTAAATCACTATGCAGGTATTTCACTCCCGTACAACGCCACAGGTGGAGAAACTAGCATTACAAAAAGTTCAACAAAACCTTAATATCATTTCAAAACAATAAATCTAAATTGAAACATAATGTGGTTTTTATTCGATAAACCGAATGGAACCGAAATTTATATTCTCCCCAAATCCTACAAAGTAAGGGAAATGCGTGTATGAAGATTATACTTGAAAATCATATTAATGTGTGCGGAGGGACAAAAACGGGAAAGAGTATGAGACACAAATACACAACGACTTCAACGTTAATCAACTATCCAAATCCAATAAACTAAGGAAGAGTCCGACGATATCTATGTATAGACAAACCACCCCCAGCATGTAATCATCATAATCAAACTTATCGATGATGCTATAAGTATCATATATGATATAGCCGCTATATAAAATCACCAAAACAGCCCCAAAAAGCGCGTGTCCGATCTTCCCTAGAGGCCAAAATATCTGCAAAATTATCAAGAAAATTAATGACAGTGATAAATCCCTTCAATTATTAAAGTAGCTGAGTGATATGAAAGTTCTGATCCATAAATATAATGTACAAAACAAATTATAAATATATATAACCTGAATAATGGTACACAATAGTGCGATCACTAGAAGAGAGGATAAGAATGGCTGAAGAAATGAGAAATCGGCATGTTTCCTCAAAGTTGCCCAAAATGTATACAAAGTAAGAAAGATCGTCACAGCTGCGGTTAGGATTGCACATTCCAACGCTACTTTCCCTGTTTGTTTGTACAATATATAGTTTTAATTGACAGCAAATTTATTTATTGACTTTTAAAGCAAAACAGAACTTAATTATCTAAGTACCTATAGTACTTTAATCTATTAATTAATGCTTACAATGCACAAATACACAAGCAAATCCCACGACTAGAGAAAATACAAGTGTAAACAATTGGAGAAGTAGGTAGTTCCAAGGATGTTTCTCACTACAGATCAGCAAAGCTATCTCCACTGCACCCAAACATAGAATTTAGTAACACAGCATGCGGACAAAAACGAGAATTACAGCATGATCCATACCAATGATCAGAGTGATGGCAATAAAAACGCAGACAACAATTGTAGCAGCTTTGTTAGATGCATAGAAATGTTTAATGGGGATGAAGGCGACGACGAGGCTGGAAACTACGGTGGTAATGAGGAGTTGGAGGGTGAGAAGGGCGTACACCTTGCGAATGAACGCCCACTGGTGGGGGCTCCCGGCCACGCCCATTGCCTTAATTATACCAAGTAATTAATTAATCAATCAATTAATTAAGCTCAATGCTACCTCTAATTTAGACAGGTTGGGTATTTATACTTTATAGACAAACCTCCCCCGAATTGATAAAAGACAACATTGACAACAACCCCAACAACATTTAAATCTAATTTCAAAAGTTTTGGGGTCCGCTAATTTAAACCAAAAGAATAAAAAGATAAGAAAGATGAGGTGTGATATATAAAAAAAAGGTATGATAAAATACAAATAAGATATACCTAAAAATTATAAGATAAAAAGTACAAATTAAAATGTTTACCTCACAAATGGCCTAACAAATTAACTTCAACTTTCTTAACTTTTGTGCTTGGACTATTCTAAGGTAATTTAATTTATTAACTAGTTCCCAAATGACCCAACAAATTAACTTTAGCTTCAAATTTCAAAGTACTCCCTGAAAAAATGTAAATATGTAATCACTTTAAAAGTCAAAAGGCTCCAAGAATCTTTTGAAAATCCAATTTAATTTTATGTCTATGACTTTTTTAATAAAAAAAAGAGCGGTTTTATATATTGAAATCAAGAAAAGATACAAAAAAATATGGAGACAGTTAATTATGAGATCTGATTGTCACCCCTAGGAATAGACATAGAAACAGTCACCTTTTACAAAGCAACCTGATTCGCTAGACAAAAAATGAGCAATTTAAGCCTAATATATATATAATCTGAACTAAAACACTGCTTATCAAACATACTCCAAAAATCCATATATCTAAACCAAATCTACTCAAACTAAAATGAAAACAAGTACTGCTAAATGAAAAGTAAAATTGAAATAAAGTCTTTCCACAAAATTCTTATTGGCACGGAGGTGGTTCCGAAGGAGAACGAGTTTTACCAATGTCTATACACCCCATAAGAAGGCGGACATAACCCCTTGACCTGACAAAGTTGGTCGGGACACCAAAACAATTCTCCACAACGAGGGAGGCAAAACACTTTGGAGCGTCAGTGCCCGGGAAAAAACTGCCACAGAACAAAACAAACATAAGGAAAAAAAAAGAATAGTCCAATTGGATCATACCCCTACCCAGAATCTTTGAGAGCTGATGTCAACACTTCGTCATTGACGTCACAAGGCAGTTGATGAAACAACCCTTGCATCATGTCACTGATTAAAGAGGATGAACTGCTGCCTAGGGTTTGTTGTGGCCTCAAGCTTTCAAAGTCTCATTTTATGTCTATGATTTTATTCAATCATTCAGCGTTAATTATTAGATTTTCTTGTATGTTCCATTTTCCAATTTGATAAGTTTTGCATACACTTTCATTCTTACTTTACAGATATGCATCATACCTTTAAATATTCACCTTTTAACATATTTTACTTTAACATAATCTCTTTGCTACTTTTGTTTACTTTTTTAACAAAGTCGGTCATGTTCTTAAACTCTATTATCACATGAGAGTCCTGGCACCTAACTCCGTTAAAAATGCCGGAACAAGACGATGAATAGTAATCTTGATTTTCAAAAGTACCCAAAAAATTAAAAGAAAAATATTGAAATGTGTGCCTCGTCAAGATGACCTCCAAATAAACCATCTGCGTCTTGAGATTTTTCGGATATGTTTGGATTAAATTTTAAAAAATGATTTCGCTAATATCACTTTTTTGGTGAACTTCCGGTGAAAAGGGTGGCTGGGAACGAAAAAAGATGGCCTAGAGGTCGTCTTGTTGAGGTGCACCTATCAGTATTTTTCTATTTTTCTTTTAATTTTCTGATACTTTTGAAAATTAGAGTTACTGTTCATTGTCTACCTCCGACAATTTCTAATGGCGCTAGGACCCTCTCGTGATAACGAAGTTTAAACACATAATCCACTTTGTTAAAATATAAAACATGTGACTCTATTTGAAAACGGGTCCAATCACGTGTACGTTTTTTGTACTACTAGTATAGTACCCGTGCATACGCACGGGATAGAACGGTTGGTGCATATATTTTTTACTCATGATCTAATTAAATATTAAAATAGAAACAACTTTTTAGGATTCTACATTTTTGAAAAAAATTGTATTTCAATCAGCTAATACCTTAAAATATATATTCAATGAAGAGTATATTAGGAAAAATTAATTGACACTACTCATTAGAATTTGCTGCTTATTCATTTCCATGATTAGATTAATTTTAAAATTAAATAATAATTCTAAAAAAGTGAGTACAATAAATATTAAAATCAATGAATATTAGTTAAATAATAACTCCATTCATTAGTAAATTCGTGCTAACATATGTGAGAGAAAATTATTCTGTTCAATTCTTAGTTGGCTTATCTTGTTATATCTAAACCAATTACATATGAGAAAAAAATCTTTCACTCAATTGTTAGCCTTATTATCTTACCTTATACCTAAAAGCACTATGTGTGAGAGAAACAAATATGTTCTTTAATTGTTAGCAAACTTATCTAATACTACAAAGAACTACATATATGATGATATCATCGCTCAATTGTTAGCAACTTTATCTTCTTATAACTAAAAGCACTATATATGAGAGAGAAAATTTTCACTTAATTATTAGCAAGCAAGCTTATCTTGTCATATCTAAATAGACTACATATGAGAGAGAAAGTTTTCTTGTTCAATTATTAGTCGACTTATGTTATACCTAAAAGCACTACATATGGAAGGGTAAATTTTCACGCTCAACGGTTAGCTGGATTATCTTATATACGGAGTACTTAAGAACTACCCGTAAGAGTGAAAGTTCTCTCACTCAATTGCTAACAAGTTTATCTTCTTAGCTTCTTATGCCTAAAAATACTACATATGAGAGAGAAAGTTATCTTGCTCAATTGTTTATTCTTCTTATCTTATACTCAGAACTACATATGAGGGAGAAAGTTATTCCTCTCAATGGTTAGCAAGCTTATCTTCTACTATGTAATACCTAAAAACACTACATATGAGCAATAAAATTCTCCAGCTCAATTCTCCTTCTCAATTGTTAGCAATCTTATCTTCTAATACCTAAACACACTACATATGAATGAAAAAATCTTCTGATCTCGCTCAATTATTAGTAAGCTTATCTTTTTTTATATCTAAAACTCTTACATATGAGAGAGAAAGTTCTCGAGCTCAATTGTTAGCTGGCTTACCTCATACCTAAAAACACTACATACGAGGGAGAGAAATTATTTCGTTCAATTGTTAGCTGGATTATTTTATACCTAAAAGAAATATATATGAGAGATAAAGTTCTTTTGCTCAATTGTTAGCAAGTTTATCTTCTAATAACTAAAAGTAGTACATATGAGATAGAAAATTCTCCCGCTCAATTGTTAGCCGGCTTGTCTTATACCCAAAAGCACTATATATGATACAAAAAATCCTCTCACTCAATTGTTAGTTGGATTATGTTATAGTTAAAATAACTGCTTGTTGAGAGAGAGAAATATCTTGTTCAATTGTTAAGACGATTTATACCTAAAAGCGCCACATATGAAAGAACAAATTTTTTCGCTCGATTGTTAGTTGACTTATATTACTATCTTACTGAAAAGCACTACAAATGAGAGACAAAGTTATCCTGCTCAAGTGTTAGCCAACTTATCTTATACCTAAAAACATTACATATGATAGAGAAATTTTGGCCGCTCAATTGTTAGTCGACTTATCTTATACTTAAAAACACTACAAATGAGAGAGAAACTTATTCCGCTCAGTTCTCATCCAACTTATCTTATACCTAAAAACATTATATATAAGAGAGAAAACTATCCCGCATCCTTAAAGTTGTAACCTCACTCAGTGTTGCATTTACTATTCACCTGATTCCTTGAAATTGATGAAATTTTGACAGAAGTGACTGAATTGATTGAAATCGATTCTTTTGATTTATGGATGAATTTAGTTCAAATTATATATTATTAATGAAGTAAATAAAAGATTATAGGAAAAGTGGTTAAAAATTATTATGTACAGTAATTTCAGCCAAATAAGTCAATTTTGTTTTATAAAATTAAACTTAAATAGATCAAAGCACTTAAAAAAAACCAAAAATGATGAATATATATTTTCATATTTGCCCCTTTTTCCTTAAACATAAAGAATAATAAATTGAAATAAATTTAGAAGTTTTGTTTTATTAGCACTCGATGTGTTTATCATTTCAATTTGCTAATTTTATATATTCTCGAGTGACATTATAACAGGAAGAAATATGGTTTGTAATAGTTTTATAGTTTAATGAAGGGAGTATAATAGAAAATGAAAATAACATTAGAGTTTTATTAATCGTAGTGTTGAAGAATTCAAATCATTTATTGTCTTCCATTTAGACCAACTCAAAACAGAAAAAAATAGACCAACTTAAATTTTATTATTAGAACTAATTAGATTTTCATTTGCGGATTTTTTATATATCAAACCAGTGCACATCAAATTATAAAATACTTTAAGAAAGTTTTCTTAAATAAATTTTAATATTTTTATATTTTTCCTTCCATGGTCTGATTTTAATTTTAAAGACCGTTTAGAAGTACTGAAATTAGTTGAAACTGTTGAAATGGATGAAATTCTGAGAGAAGAGGTTGAATTAGTTGAATCATTCTGGTGTATGGATACATTTAAGTTAAATTACTTTTATTAATTAAATAAAGAAAAACATTATCTGAATTTTAAGCATAATTATAGAGATTGTTAATAAATTATATTTTGATATATTCAAAATTGATCTCATATGTAAGATCACAAAAAATTATGAGTTTTGATTTATTTTTTTGTAGAAATTGGATTAAAAATGAAACAGTTTTAACACTTTAAAGAAAAACATTACTCCCTCTGTCCCTAAAAGAAGTTTCATTTCGCTTATCGAGGGTCAACTTAAATCACTCTTAAACTCTTACTTTTTATATCAAAGTTTTATAAAAGTTGAATTATTTTTTGCAGGCTTTGTAGCGGGTTTAATGTAGTTTCTGAATATGTAAATTTTTTTTACTAAAAATAATCCGAGTTTTCACAGGGATCATTTAACTTTATCGTCGGTCAACCTTCG